AGTAGATGAATTACAAAGCTCATTACTAATACACGAATAAAAGATCATACGTAAGCAAAATGAAGAGCAGGTCTTAAAGGTGGAAAACAATCAGAACGCCAGTCGTGGAAGAGGAAGATGCAGAGGATCTTCCAATCGAGGAAGAGGAAGAGGTCGCGGCAAAGCTCAATCAGACAATCGACCCCAATTTGATAAATCTACAATTGAATGTTTCAAATGCCATTAATTTGGACATTTCCAATATGAATGTCCAAATGGTGACCGTGCTGTAAACTACGAAGATAATGAAGAATTGCTCTTGATGGCTTCGGTTGATATTGAAGAATATGGAAAAGAGGCACATTTATTGATGGCAACTGTAGATGAAGGAAATCCAGAAAAGGGTGGCATTGGTTCTTGGACTAAGCATGCTCAAATCACATGTCAGGGTTAAAGGACTGGTTCATACGCATGGATGAGACGTATGGACAGAAGGTCAAGCTCGAAAATGATCATAGGTTGGATGTGAAAGGCTTATGGGATATCAGTCTAACAGCGGATGGCATCTCACAAGTCATTACAAATGTCTATTATGTACCTCTATTAACATCTAATCTCATTAGTGTTGGGCAGTTACAAGATAAGGATGTGACATTTGTAATTCAAGGAGGTTTGTGCAAGGCATATCACCCTCAAAGGGGCCTAATTATTACATCTAAAATGACAAGGAACATAATGTTCCCTGTATTTTCATCTTCGAAGAAAACCTCATCCAAATGTTTTGCAAGTCAATGATGTTGTAAACACCCAAATCTGGCATAAGAGGTTCACTCATGTTGATGTTCAAAAGAATGGTGAAGGGACTACCGTCAATCGCATAAAAGCATACAGTGTGTGAGACTTGTGTAATAGGAAAGCAACAAAGAGATGCTATTCCTAGGCAAAGTGAATGGCGGGCTACTGAAAAACTGCAGCTGATTCACACAGATCTATGTGGACCCATCACTCCAGCTTCAAACAATGGAAAAAGGTACATGCTCGTGTTTATAGATGATTATACACGCAAGACTTGAGTTTATTTCCTATCTCAGAAGAATGAAAGCTTTGATGTGTTCAAAATTTTCAAAAGCTTTGTGGAAAAGGAAACTGGTATGAGCATTAAATGTATAAGAAGTGACAGGGGAGGAGAGTTCACCACTAATCCATTCAACATGTTCTGTGAATCAGAGGGCATTAAAAGATAACTCAAAGCCGCCTACACCCTACAGCAAAATGGAGTTGCAGAGCGGCGAAATCGAACCATAGAAAACATGATTCGTTGCCTTTTAGCTGAGAAATCAATGCCTAAGTATTTTTGGCCAGAAGCAGCAAAATGGGTCTGTCACATGTTGAATAGGTGCATTAGCATGAGTCTTGATAATAAAGTACCAGAAGAACTTTGGACCAGTAAAAAACCAAGTGTTGAGCACTTCAAAGTTTTTGCATGCATTGGGTATGTCCACATTTCTGCACAGATGAGAACTAAACTGGATGCTAGAAGCCACAAGTGTGCGTTCCTTGGAATCAGTCAAGAATCAAAAGCTTATCGCCTCTATGATCCCATAAGCAAGAAGACTATAATCAGCAGGGATGTCATATTTGATGAAGATGCAACCTAGGAATGGTATAAAGAAAGTGAGAAATAGGAAGAATTGATTATAGAAGGAGAAAATCTTGATCGAGAAACCCTAATACAACTTAGGAGGAAGAACATGCTCCAGCTGCCCCTCAAAGTCCAACAAATTCAAGCCAAAACAATGAAGTCGATGCACAAACTCAAGGTATGACCCCACCTCAAACATCCCATGCTGAATCTAATGAATGTGAAAACCCAAGTCCAGCAGCTACAATTGATTCTGCTACACAAACCGGACCATCCACCTGAGTACGAAGACCTCCGGTTTGGATGGAGGACTACCACACAGATCAAGACTTATTCAATGAAGATGAAGCGGGGTTTGCAATGTACAACTCAAGAGATGATCCAATAGCATATGAAGAAGCGTGAAAAGATGAAAAATGGGTTAAAGCAATGGAAGATGACATAGCAACCATTGAGAAAAATCAAACCTGGGAATTAGTATAAGCACCACCTGAAGCAAAACCAATCGGCGTAAAATGGCTATTTAAAACAAAGATCAATGAAAAGGGAGAGGTGGATAAATATAAAGCAAGGCTTGTGGTAAAAGGTTATGCTCAAAAGAAAGGTGTGGACTATGATGAAGTTTTTGCCCCTGTAGCTCGCTGGGATACTATCAGAACCTTGTTGGCTGTGGCTGCACAAAGAAATTGGATAGTCTACCAGCTAGATGTTAAAAACGCATTTTTGTATGGCGAACTCAAGGAGACAGTCCATGTAGATCAACCAAAAGGGTTTGTCAAGCAAGGAGCAGAAAGAAAAGTGTACAGGCTGAAGAGAGACCTATACGGCTTAAAACAAGCTCCTGAGCTTGGTTTAACCATATTGAAAGGTACTTTAAACGTGAAGGGTTCAATAAAAGTAGCTATGATCATACTCTGTTCATAAAGAAGGTTTGGAACAAAGTAATCATAGTGAGTCTGTATGTCGATGACCTAATATATGCTGGAAATGATCCTATGATGTGTGAGCACTTTAAGAAGTCAATGAAATGTGAATTTGAAATGACAGATCTAGGAAAAATGAAGTATTTTCTTGGTGTGGAAGTGCATCAAAGCTCATATGGAATCACACTATGTCATGCCCAATATGTGAAGGAAATTCTAGAAAGATTTCACATATGGGAAGCAAATGAAGTGAAGAATCCAATTGTCCCTGGTACAATCTTAACAAAGTCCATAACAGGGGAGGAAGTAAATAGTACCAGATATATGAGTCTCATAGGAAGTCTGATGTATCTAACAGTCACACGTCCAGATTTAATGTATGTGATTAGTCTGCTGTCTAGATTCATGGCAAACCCCAATGAGGAGCACATGGCAGTAGCAAAGCGGGTACTAAGATATGTAAAATGCACCAAGAACTTTGGGTTGCACTTTGAAAGGAACCTCAATCAAAAGCTAAAAGTGTATACAAATAGTGATTATGCCCGTGACATTGAAGATCGAAAATGCACTTCTGGGTATATATGTTTATTTAATGGGGCTGCAATATGCTGGAGCTCTCGTAAGCAGGGGATAGTTACTTTATCAACAACTGAGGCCGAGTATGTTGCAGCAACAGCATGTGCTTGTCATTGTGTTTGGTTGAAAGGCCTTCTTGAGGAACTTGAGGAGAAACCAATCGAAACTGTTGAAGTCCTATGTGATAACAGCTCAACCATAAAACTGTCAATGAATCCGGTGTTACATAGGAAAACAAAACATATAGATGTTCGATTCCACTATCTAAGAAACTTGGTGAATCAAGGAGTAGTGAAGCTTGAATTTTGCAGGTCTGAAAAGCAGTTAGCTGATGTTATGACTAAACCATTGAAGTTGGATACTTTCGAGATGATCAGGAAGTAGATTGGAGTGAAAGAAGTTAAACAAGAAGCTTGGTGCTTTCTTGTTTAAGGGAGGATTTGTTGGGCTATAGTTAGTGGGTCAGTATGGTGTTTTCGAGTCCATTTCTAGTTTCTTGTTTTGGGCCTTGTTGACTGGTCTGCATATGTAACCAGCTGACCTGGTCAGTCTTAGTTTTCTTTGAGTCTAGGTTGTTCCGTTTTTAGCTCTTAGTTTACAGTTCCTCTATGTTACCGTTTGATGTAATGGCTTTAAGTTGGCCTGCTTATTGATGAATAAGGGACTCGAATTCAAAAATATTTGTGTTCCATATCACTTTCAGCTCCTTCAGAAAGCATCTATGAAGAAAGGTATGGGAGAAGGTATATATCTATGAAGTTTCTCAACATGCCAAATAAAATAAAAAACCATCTCACTTTGAGGATTTGGAAATCCCTAAAAACGATTGTTCAAATATAAACGAACTTAAAGTAACCTAAAATTGGATAACAAGATTAATTAAAAAGAAACACACCTACAATCAATTAATAGTCAACGGATTAACCAAAAAGATTTACCTTTATCTATTAATCTGAAGAAATGGAACTGAAGATTGAGAAACAAATATAACGGGAATCATTGAAAACAATGAGGACCGGATAATTTATTTCATCTATGTCCTAAATATTACAATAAGAGGACTAACTTTGATACTAAATATTACATAAAAAATCAATGTTCTAAATAACGTTAGGCGTGTTTTGGCGACAATGTCAAACCTTAAATTTTTACAAGTCATGTCGTTTGTAAGGCATGACTTAAAGTGGTAATTTTATATATAATGAATATTTTTATATGCATTTTCTACTATTATTCATAAATATATACATATATGACTAAATGAGACATTTTGTTAAAACTTGACGTCAAATACAAGCCTCGGAGTCATGACAAGTTTTTTAGAACCTTGCAACAAACCAACCATCTTTCTAACACTCTCTGTTTAAGCGTTATGATAGCTAACTCTCTGTGTTTTGGATGCTTTACAACTAGGGTTGGAACCTCCTTTTATAGCCTAAACAACCATCATTTGTACAACATTTATTAATTGTGTTCATCATAAAGGAGTTAGAAAATGCCACCGTAGGTTCTCTTTTGTCAAATAAAGTAGTGGCTTTGGATTTAGAGGCTGGAACATAAAATTTTCTTAATCCAAAACCCATATGCAAATTCTTAATTTAGTCGTCACCAAACCACTTCTTCACCCCTTCAATCAACCACTAGACTCAATTTCACTTCAAAGACTAGAGGTGTTCACCAAATTGCTCACACCACACAAAGCCATTCCGCTTAACAACGTTTGAAATTTTCATAGTGCAGTTTGCAGTTCATAATCACAAACCCACATTATGTCAAGGACTGCATTGTTCAATCCAAATCCTCTTCCCCTATATGGCTCTTATAACATTTTGTTGTGTACTTGTGTAAGCAAACAATAAATTAAGAAGAAAATTTTAATGGGAGAAACCAACAAGATGACCACAAATGTTGCATCATTATTTCTTACCTATACAAAGAGAGAAATGAGATTACAACAATGGCAAAAGAAAACTAGAATGAAATGTGAAATAGCAACTCACTAGTGAAAGTCAACCTTGACCCAAGACTTTTACTATTTTTCATATTTAGTCCTTGACATCTAGCTAAATCGTTATACGACGCACACAATTTTTAATATTACTACAATGCATACACAGATAACAGATTCAACATGCAGAATGCAGAACATACGCCACAAGAAGGAGGATTTGTTCATCTAGACGGAAGTTAAGCTCTTCTTGGGCGAATCTGTAAGGATACGAACATGTTCTGGGGTCTTCTTCTTCCACCATAAGTAAAAAACAGAGCATGCTATGAAAATTCCGGCGACACCTCCGAGTGTTATTCCGACGATCCTTCCGACCTGCTTCTTATCGTTGGAAGAACCACCACGGGAAGATACTAGTAAAACGAAACAAAGATTATACCACAAGAAATGAAGAAATTGGCATTTGAACCTATGAACCCTAATGTTCGCCGGTGGCCGGAAACTAACCTTGTGAAACATGTATAGCCGAGATCAAGGGGCCAAATGTGCTTTGAACCGGAATGCAACACGTACCCTTTCCAGCCCACACCAGATGAACATCAATGATCGTGTTCGTCACGTTCGCTTCAAATGATCTCACCAACGCTTTATTTGATCCCTGTGCTTCGTTTCTTATGTTGAAATCTTGAAGAACCCTTTCTCCCTTTTCAATTTTGTTACATCAAAATTAGGTTAGAAACATGAAACACAATATCTGAATCTGTAATCAATCGATGTACCTGGATGTAAACATCGAACAAGCGTCTTCCGAGGCCTTTCCATGATGATCTTGAATCATCATCCATTTGTATTTCAGAAAAATGGAGTTCGACATTGTATTTCGCGTTTCTCAATCCTAATCCGTAATACCTCAACGAATTTGGTGAGATTCTTGCTGTTTTATACAACTCGGAATCTAAAGTAGCTGTGATTTGAGAAGCTGTCTGTGTCGTGTATTGAGGTCCATTAGGGTTCGATATGAAACTCCCTGTGTTGCTTACTACCCATCTGTTGTTCGAACCTGTGTAGACTGATGAAGCTCCTAGGGTTTCTGAATCATCATCGAATGCAACACCATATGTAGATACCATTGAAGATCCACCACATTTTACAGCAAAGGAATCTACAGCCATTCAAATAAAGTCAAAATTGATATGAATTCTTCAAATTTTCTGAGACTTTTTGATGTTCATGGAACTTACTGACTGGAACCTTCTCTGTGCACTGGTTATCAGTTACCAGGCAACGTGAGATCTCAGAGGTTTTCCTGCACTGATTCATAATCAGTTCTTGACAGAAAACATCTCAAGAAAATTGGATTAGATGAAGATGATGAAGAACACCATGAAATTTTACCCTTCTAGCAAGCCATCTCCATTTACCAAAGTTCCTACAGCATTCCTGTAGATGAACTGTTACATTTTACGCAGTGTTTGAATGATTCTTACTTTTTAAAATGTTTTTGAAAGTTGAAACTCACATTGATCTTCCAATTTTCGTGAAATTAGCAGGCAAATTCCCAGTGATGGAATTGAAGGAGACATCTCTGTTGTAAGATGAAGAAAAAAAAATTAAACACATGAATATCGAAGGGCAAAATAGTCAATTTACATGAAAACTTACAATGCCCGGAGCTGTGGAGTTATGATATTCGGTGGAATCACCCCATTTAAGTCATTGCTTCCAAGATACCTAAAATTTTTATAAAATTGTGTTTTAATTGAAGATTTGTAATCTTTTAATTTAAAAATAAAATAAAATAAAATAATCCAAATACTTACAAGAAATGCAAAGATTGTGAATCTTGGAAAGAGTCCGGTATGGCGCCTTTTAATTTGTTGAAGCTCAAGTCCCTTTTAACATATTAAGTCAAAAAGAAACAGTTATATATCTGTCTATCTTCAAGTCCTGTATTTGTTAAGTCCATTAAGTAAAAAAGAAACAGTATCTTACAGAATTTGTAAGTTGGCGAAAGTGCCAATTTGTGAAGGAATTTCGCCACCAACTCTTGAGCTTCTCAAGGAGCTATACACAAAGGTTGAGTTACATTAAATATTTCCAAAACTTTATAACTAATAAAGGGCATTTTAGTCATTTAACTTAGAGATGTAAGAACTAATAATCAAAACAAAAGTAAATGAGAAGGTAGTGAATGGTGAAGTCATACAGAATGGAAAGGCTTGTGAAGTTAACTAAGAAATCAAGTGTCGAATCTTCACCACCTAGATCACCAATTCTCCTATAAAAAAACAAAAGAAATGAACAAATAGATTGAACTATATTAGTGTTTATTAGTCTTTCTCTAATTTTCATATCATATAATCAGTATTTATTCTCTAATTATTTCTGAAATTTTATAAAATTGCTAAATGATCTTACAGATCTTCTAGTTTTGTCAAAGCTGCATAACTACTAGGAATTGGGCCTTCAAGAGATGTTCCTTCAAGTCTCCTAAAACATCAATGAGAATTTATTTACATGAACCAAATTTTAATAACCAAAAGATATATGATTTTCTTAAAGTGATCTTGCTTACAGTGTTTTTAGATTTGTAAAAGTTCCCAAAAACTCAGGAAGCTTTCCAGTAAAACCATTGTCAGAAGCCCACCTGTCACACACACACACACACACACACACACAAAAAAAAAAAAAAAAAAAAACCTTTCAAGATATGAAAAAAAAATTATAATAAAAAGTTAACAAATGTTTCTGGAATTAATTAATTACAGCGTATGAAGTGATTTCAAGTTTGAAAGTTCTTGAGGAAATGGTCCACTCACTCCACTGCTGTCTATGTACCTAATTCAACAATAACATAAATCAAACAAAGAAACTTGTAAGCTAAATTATATATTTAAAAAAATATATATATGTAGCTTACAAAGTTAGGGTATGTTTTCTAATGGGTAAACTGGATAGTTATACGTTATTATTATTTTTTGACTTAATCTTGATAGAATGACTTAATAATAGGTTAAGCCAAAAAAACTAATATTGTAAAATTTGTTTTTTTGCCGTTCTTTTTTATCCCCAGCTCCTTCAATATTAAAATCGATGAACATTGCAAATTTTTTTTTTTGGAATATTAGAGTAAAATGGTTATTTTATGGTTCAAAGAGTTTATTCTGTTTAAAAAATACAAAAATAGAGCTTATATATACAACATTTTAACGAGATAAAGATCATTATCCATATAGCCACTTTACTCATACAAAGCAGACTCTTACTTACAGTTGCTCTAAGGAAGTCAACTTTCCTAAATCAATAGGCAAAGGTCCATTGAAATTGTTTGAACTGAAGCTTCTGAATGAGAGAAAAAAAAATATATTATTATAAATAATAAGGATGATTAATTAATGTTTTATGTCATTAAAATATAAATTAAAGATTTTTATACTAACAAAGATTTCAAATCCGTGAGATTCCCAAGCTCCATAGGCACGACACCGCTAAAATTATTGATACCAAGGCTCCTGATAATAAATATTAAATAATTAATAAAATGACATGTTATTATTATTAAATTCAGAATTATAATAATATTGAGAGAATTTTAAAATATACTAACAAATATTGCATTTTGAATAATCTTCCAATTTCTTTAGGGATAGAGCCATTCAATACATTCTGTCCGAGGTTCCTGTAGCATAAATTATGTCATTTTAAGTTAAAAAGAAATACATTTCAGTTAAAATTTAAAAATCATTTTTTTTTAAATTTCTTTATAAATAAATTTATTGGTTTCTTACAAGTCGATAAGCTCAGTAAGTTGAAAAAGTTCTTGTGGGAGTTCACCAGATATATCCAAAGCATATAATTTCCTGCAAAAATAATTGAATTTAATTTAAACAATCGTTTTCTTTACAACTTGCAGCATTAAATTTTTATTTAATTTTAAAACATAAATACAAAAAAAAAATGAAGAACTGACAAGTGAGTTATGTGGCAGATGTTGTTCGAACAATCACAAACAATTCGTGGGTTTGCATTTTCTGTAGCCCAAGATGCATCACGAGTGCAGGGGTCAATTGACAAGTTTACCTTTGAACTCAAACCCCAATAATCTATCACTTTCTTTATAGCAATCACTGTAAAAAGAACAATAAATTAAAAAAAAGATCAAAACTTGTGTTATGATTATGAAGTCAAATTATGAAACACATACAAACCTTCATTGGATTCAGTCGTTATTTGAGCATCAACAAGTTTATGTATGGAGAAAACCAAGAAACAACATAAGCTTAGAATCCCCATAATTAGGCAATGAAAAAGCTTTACTTGATGTTTATATATTGTAAAGAGAAGTATAATGTTTAATGCATAAGGTACAACTGTGTGACCATAAAAGTCCAGGGTTACAAACACTACTAGGTCAAGTGTACATCATCATCATCATCATCTTTTTTTTTTCTTTCTTTCTTTAATAATTCAGTCATGTTTCTTGATGGGAATGATATTAGTTAACATCAAGTGGGAAATATATGAAAAGAATTAAGGATGTGAAACTTTTGTTTGAATCTTGACTTTAATCTTGAAATTTTAAATTGGGTCTAAATCATACGGATTGCCGGCCTATGAAGAGAGTATAATACATGATTAGATTAGTAAAGGGTCGTGGTCAAAATTGTCTTTTTAGAATTTAAGAACAGAAATTATGAAATGGGTGATTTTGTAAGTTTTGATTATAAGCGAACAAAAACTTGATGACTTGGAAATCATGTTAGTGGACCAAAAGATTCAGATGATTGGTTGCTATCAAAAGCTACAAAAGTTACAGGAAATTCTCTTTGGGGGATTTCATCAAAAAGATGGTGGATGTTGGCTAAAGAATTTGATAGGTAGAGGGGAAGAAGAAAGTCAAGAAACAAAACTACGTCTACAGAAATGTAAAGGGGAAAAGGGGGAAAATACTAAAAGGGACATCAAAAACATAATTCTAGTGTGGACCTCATTTCATATGTACCTAAATTTTGATTGTTTCATGAGATTTTGACCCCAGTTATACGCATTATTTTATTCATAAGTGTAATTAATGTTGAAATAATTATATTTATGTGTGGTCGTATGACCATTTATTATTATGAACCTGGTTAGGGAGTGCCATCGCGAATATTGTCACCTACAAAGATTTAGATGGGTATTGTAAATATGTTTTACTAAATCAGCACGAAGGTTGTGATCAAATGCGGTCATATATTTCCTTTCTGCTCGCCATGTACTTTGGCGTACCAATATCTATTCCTTCGAATATTAGTAGATTTTTATTTTTATTGTAGTGACAAATCGTTTTCGTGCATCTTCTAAAACCATATATGCAATATGATGCATGCATACATCTTCTAACCGTGCTGGAACTTTAAGTATCTGTCAACATCCCTTAAGAGCACCAAAGGCTCGTTCGACATCCTTCCTAGCTGATTCTAGGACCACCATAAACGTTAATCGTTTGTCGTTGTTTGGACATGAGAATAACTTCACAAATATAGTTAACTCAAGATATCTCATCAGTAAAGTAGTACCCACACTTATATGATGTTCCATTCACTTGAAACGACACATCATACAATTTTCCATGGTAGATGTCATTGAAAATCGATGACTGGTTTAAAACATTGATATCGTTGTTAGCATAGAAGAACCAAAAAAATGCAAGTTGTATCCAAAGATCACGTGACGCTCCTACTACTAACATTATCGTCGGTTGTTTTTGATCACCCCACATGAATTCACAACGCCATGAATTAGGGCACATTGCCCACCCTTAGTGCATACAATCAATACTACCGAGCATTCTAGGGAACCCATGCTTGTTTTCATGTGTTTTATACAATTGGTGGAAGTCGATAATTGTAGGTTTGGGCAATACTGATCATGGAAGAGGCTAATTACAAATTTAGCAAACATGTAAAGACATTCTCGTGTCGTTCGATCTGACATCATCAAATACTCATCCAATAAGTCCACCCCATGTCTAATGCTAATTGACGAATTGTCGTATATTTTGAATTTGAGAGCAACCATGCCTGTCTCTTGCATTCAATTTCAATTGAAAATATGAAAATCGATTTTTCACGTCATCAATTTTCTGTAGGAATAACTATTTCCTCACCCGGAACCGACGTCTAAATTTTTCAGTGAACACGACATCATCAGCAAAGTAGTCTTGTTCAAGATGATTGTGTCCAGCTACACGATTTTTCTATAAATGATATTTTCTAGTTTTTGAACATGAACTTTTGGCTTCGTTTTCTTGTAAATAAGTGTTTTTTTTTTTGCATTACGTTCACGATAAAACATCAATTCCTGCAAATCTAACGTATCCGACAAAGTAGAATATGATGATAACATTTTAAATTTGATATATAAAGAATATAGAGATTCTGGGTGCTTATGTTGTAGTATAAAATGGAAGGAGTGTTGTTTAATGGATAAAAAGGAAAAAAAAATCAAAATTTATTGCTTCCAACGGTAAAAAAGGAGACACGTAAAGTGGAATCACCTTTTGCAGGGGGGGGGGGAGGGGTTTCACCACACACCACCAAGTGTGGTGTTCCCCGTGCCCATCACTAGCCACCTCAGCCCACTACATGGTGTGGTGGGTGTACATGCTATGGTCTAATATCATTCACCACTATAAATAGGAGGTCACTCGAGAGATAACAAGTAGTTAATAATCGACGTTTTTTCTTTTTCCCTCTCTCCCTCGCCAATACCATAAGAACATAAGAACAAGAGATAAGCGATTTATGTCCGAAGGGATTACAATCAAAGTGAATCAAGAACGATGATTGCTTCATGATCTATTTGATTGTGATTCGATTGTGCTTGTGTGATGTGTGATCTATAAGTTATGGAACTGTAATGCAACATGTGGTATCATAACAAATTTATAACATCCAACACATAAATTCTTCATCCATATTCATGTTGATATCCCCCCAAACCTAATCGGCGGGAATGAACGAAACCGTTTAAAGAAAAGTTTGGAGAATCGCAATAATGGTTTAGTTTTGATGCATCCTTAATTAAAATCATAATTGGAAACCAAATAAGGTGATCCACACACCCAGAAATGCCAATTCCATAAGTGGAATTCGAATGAACAAGAAGAAATCGTTTTTTGTGACATTCCCTCAACTGAACAAACAAACAAAAAATCTAAGCCTATGGGTCTGCCAGATTGGCATAAGGCTCCGACCACCCTATCTTAGGGGTTTTCCCCTAAATATATTGATCTGACCACTTGTAACGAAATAATACCGGAGGGAACGAGGGAACGAGAGGAGCGATGAGACTGATGGGGAGTGACAATAACTTGCACTTAATGTAATCTTTTGTTATATTAAGACATAACTTGTAGGATTTATGTAATCTTTTGTTACATTTAAAACATAACTTCCGCTTAATGTTTGGATTAATACTTTGGGACGCCGTATTGTTAAATTTAAATGTTTCGATCTATTTTTCTGCAATTTATATTTTCTAACAGTTTTTATATTTTTATATCGTTTTTATGTATTTTTAATGTTAAAAACTAAAAAAAACAAAAAAAAAAAGAGAAAAATACAATTAGTGGCGACGTCAAGCATTAGTGGCGACAAAGTGCATTAGTGACGATACACCTATAGTGACGACGAAAGGCACTAACAGCGACAGTTGGAGCAATAGCGACGAACCAACAGTGGCGAACCTTTAGCGGTGACATGTTGTCGCTAATACCTTTAGCAGTGACATTCTTGACCTTTAGCGGCGACGTTTGTCATTCTTGTAGTGCCCTCATTTGAAATTTCTTTCATACTTGGTCCCTAACTTGGCTAAAAACTTAATAAAACTTACTTTTACTTTACAATTGGTCCTAATCCACCATAACTCATGCAAATCTAGTCCGGGATGCTTGTTTGGTCAATTTCGCAGGTCAAAAACAAGTTTATACAAATTGACATTTTTAGCCCCTAAACCTTAAAATTTTTCTTTTAACACCCAAACTCTGTCATAATCTATTTTTGGCTTAGAAAATAAGTTTATTAGGGTTATTAAACAAAATCATTTACTTACATCTATTTATTTGTTTCATTTCGATTTATTTTATTTTAAAATAAAGAAACTTTTATCTTTACCAAAACGTCCAAAACTCTTAGCCCAAAAAACAAGATGTTACACCACGACAGTATGCCTCTAGGTTATAAAATTTCATGGTGGGTGTTTTAAGCTTCCTTTCGACTTAAATAAATCATAATATTATTGATTCATTGTTAACTATAATATCAACCCAACATAAGATCTTCAAGTTAATGTTGATGGGTTGTTTATGTCCAAAGTTGATTTTGTGTATGTGTGTGTTGTCATTTGAGAAATCCAATGACTAGTTGTGAGAATGCATGGGATCATTTATTGAGCGTAATCCATATAAACATATTTCCTCCCTTGGTAAGGCTTTTCAAAACATGTTTAAGGTTTCAAGTCAACTAGTTAAGTAAACCCAACATATCTAATTAGTTATTTTGGCTTTATTTGATTTGTTTACTTAATTATTTTAGTTGATAAATAATAATTTATCTACTAAATACATTATTATGTATAGATCTTTTTGTAACTCGTAGTGTGACCTCCATAGTCTCACATATAATTAGCAGTACATAAATTTCTTGTATGATCCAACATATATGCATACAATATAACTTTTCCAATATGGGGTTACAAAACATCAATAAGTCGTATAGAAACATCAACACAGACAACATGTCAAGGTTCAAGTGTAACATCTAGGATGGTTCTCTCCTTGTTTAACCCCAAAGTCTCATTATTTAGCTATCACAAAAGTCACATCTAAGAAACTAAGTCCACTGTTACTTCAATCATAAACTTCTAATACATGTCAAATAAAATAAGATATGTAAGACAATAATTTCTCGTGACCTATATAGGTTTAGATCTAAAATAGTTTTCAAAATATTTAAACATTAGACCATTTGTAAAGCATGGCATGTGTTTATGTGTAATAATCCAATGCATGTCAAAGCATTCATACTTTGTGAAATGGCCTTACCAAATCACATTGTTCCTTTGTACCACACCGAGAAGAACACATCAACTCATTATGTACATTCCAATAATGCTTACTGAGCCTTACCCAACTAGGTTACGTAATTCAAGGGGATTTGTATTGGACTTAACATTATTACAAATAAGATCTTATTTATCATGTTAAATCCATGTGATAAGATGTGAAAGTGTTTACAAAGGTCGTACATGTGACATCTTTTCCCCAAGGGTTCAAGTGGCTACGCAAGGGCTGAATGATCTTCCATGCATGTTGTATCACTTGGTTTGATATATCAAACTTGTGAGAACTCAAAGTTTGTATCCCATTTCGTGCACCCAACCTTCTTGAGCACTTTAGGAACCAATTTTAACGGTTTTCATTGATTGAGATTATCCCATAGTAAACAAAACATCATTTAACATCTTAAATCCCAATTCATCATTGAAATTAATGGTTTCCACCATTTTAAACACCAAACCTCAAAAAGAAATTAAAAAGATTAGTTTTTACATTAAAAGCTTCACTTATGGATCGGAGATGGTTTAACATTAGAAGGTAATCGGGATATTGTGTCTAATAGTGTCTTGCAAGGGTTCGTAGTCCTGTTGTTGCTCTTTAGTATCTCATTTTCACTCACCATGAAATCGCTTCATTCTTCCTCGATGGATTGTTTATTCTCTAATAACACTATCGCTTCTAAGATTTAATAGATTGAAGCAAAAATTATAAGAAATATTATTTCACAATTAACAATAACTTCATCACACATGTAATAACCCGAGTCCGAATCATCCAAAATATAAACAAGTTTCTGTTATTTTACGTGATTCTAGTGACCTTTTCTTTTTCAAATTTAAAGGACTGATATGTAAATTATTGAACTGGAAGGACCTTGTTGACAATTTCCTGACTAAGAGCCGCAATCTGAGAATCAAGCGACTTGATCGTATCTTCCTTTTGCTTCTCCAAACTCGCCAACGCCTCCTGCAACTCCGCCTCCACCTTCTTCCTCCCCTCCGCCAGCTTCGCATCCACCTCCAACGCCGTCTCCTTCTTCATCTTGTTCAACGCCGCCGATATCTCCGCCCTCGCTGCTCTCATAATCGCCGCCGCCTGCTCCTCCAATTGCTTCACTTCACTCGAAGTATCCTTCACACTGCTCAGCTTCTCTTTAATTTCCTTATCTCTGCTGTCCATAAAATTCCCCAAGGGGGAGTAGTATACTTTGTCGAGAGCGAACATGAGGAAAAGAAACTCCGCGGCGATGATCGGAAGCGTGAGATCGAAGTCAAAAAGTTGGGCCTTTTCGATCTCGACTGCTAAGGAGGGGAAGGGAGTCGCGGCGACGGAGGCGGCTACGAGGGCTGCGGCGGCGAGGGATTTGGGAGTGAGGGAGAGGGAGATTAGGGGTTTGGTGGTGGTGGAGATGAGAGGAAGGGAGACGGGAGGTTGTGGTAGTGGTTGGTGTTTGGATTTAGGGGTTGGGGGAGATGTGATTAGGGTTTTGGAGGAGGCCATGATCACGTTGGCCATGGTCGATTAGAGGATAACAATGGCGGTGAAGAATGGTGAAATGGTTGACAGATCTGGTTGTGGTGCGAGTGTAGAGAGATTGGAAGAAGGTGGTGATGAATTGATGATGATGAGAGGAAGATTGATCGATTTGAGGGAAAAAGCTTATCTCGTTCTATGCCACACAAAATGATATGAGGTTCCCAATTGCCAACAAAAAAAATCAAAACTAGCTCTCGATGTCCAAAATTGTCACAAAGGTTGCAAGCTTTATTTTTTCACCACATAATTTCACATTTATTCAAAATTTAATCCACTAAAATAGTAGTGTATGTTTTCAAAATTTGCATACATGTACACCTTAACGATTTCTTGCTACACCTTAATAGTTAAACATTTAATATAGAAAATATATAGATGATTGTTTATATTTTGATTTTGTTTGGACATTAAGTTTGAGTTAAGTAAAAAAATGCCTTAAATATATTAAGACTATAAGTTTGATTATAAGAGCATCCATGATAGAAATTTTTTCCAACAAAAAGCCTAATATTGGAGAAATTTTTTCAAAACAAAGTTTTTCCAATGAGCTTCTTAGACTGAACGGTGTGGGCAACGCCCACAGCCGTTTTTGTGACATGGCATGCGCCTCAACGGCGTTATCACGCGAAACACCCCCCCCCCTTTCGTTTTCAGTCGTTACGTGGTCTTTCGTTTTCGTTGCAACAGACGATAACGCGTCTTTTTTTTAATTATTTATTTTATACCGTTGATTAACGGTAACATTGTTTAAAAAAAAAACTTTACCTATATAATCATAATTTTTCTCTACATTCCATATAAAAATCACAATTTTTCTCTCTATTCACCACTTTTCTCTCTCTTTTTCATATATTTTCAAGACATTCCACAAAAGAAAAAATGAATCCGTTCGATGATAGTGACGACGATGATATATTTGTCACTATGATGTACGAGTATTGCACGAACGTGCTAATGCAACCAGCTCCGACTCCTTTATTAACGAGGCGCGCAACGTTAAACATAGATCACGAAGAAGGGCAGAGACGTTTAGTTCACGGTTATTTTGGGGATGATTGTGTCTACCAGCCACGCGATTTCAAAAGAAGGTTTCGGTTGCGGAAAAATGTATTTGTTCGGATAGCCAACGCGTTGGAAAGCAGGTATTGTTTTTTCTAATATAGCTTTTATATTATTTTAATACATTGCTTCTTTCAAATATAATTTTTATATATTAAATATACGTTTAGGTATGAATTTTTCCAAATGAGATATGACGCTAGAGGTAAACGATGATTCACAGGGTTACAAAAATATGTTGCTGCAATTAAGCTTATGGCAATGAGAGAGTCGCCTGATTCGATTGACGACTATATGAGATGTCTGAGAGAACTGCAAGAGAAAGTTTGTATAGATTAGCGAGGGATGTTGTCGAAACCTTCGGTGACGTTTATTTGCGTAAACCTTCGTTGAATGATATATAACAACTATATGCGGTGCACAAAGAAAAACATGGTTTTCCGGGTATGCTAGGAAGCATTGATTGCACACACGGGAACTGGAGAAATTGTCCCGTGGCGTGGAAAGGCCAGTACGCAAGTGGTCAGCATGAAACGCCTTCGTTGGTATTGGAGGCTGTTACGTCCCAAGATTTATAGATTTGACATGCTTTTTTCGGGGTTGCGGGTTCGAATAACGACGTGAACGTTCTTGATCAGTCACCAATTTTCGACGATATTTTGTCAGGGAAGGCACCAGATGCTCCTTTCATAGTAAATGGAAATGAGTACAAGTTTGGGTATTACCTTATGGATAGAATATATCCAGCATATTCCACATTCGTGAAGGCGTTTCGACACCCAATAACACCAAGAGAAAAAAATTTCAAGAGAAAACAAGAAGGAGCATGTAAGGATGTGAAACGTGCTTTTGGAGTTCTGAAGTCGAAATGACACATAGTTGAGCATGCAGCACGGCCATTTCAGTTAGACGTTCTACAAGATATTATGTATGCATGTATCATAATGCATAACATGATGGTTGAAGATAAATGACGAAACATTGCGGAATATTCGGCTTCGGAGCCCAGACACATGCAATTTCAACCCAGGACAACGGAATATTTACATAGGGTCGTAGATGTTCAAAACGCACGAAAACACAGACAACTTCGAGAGGATTTAGCTGATTTTATGTATGATGGAAATGAAAGCGAATAAATTAGTGGTAAAAAGAAATTTTTTTTATAAATGTTATGTTTTCGTAATGTTTTTTAAATGTTTAATTAAAAAATAGGTTTTATTTAAATAACATGTTTTAATTAATTAATTAATTTTGTTTAAAAAATAAAAATTAAATCGAAAAAAAATAATAAAAGAAATGATGACATGGAAAGTTAAAGATGTTATAACTAGTTGTCTATTTCCTCCATTTGGTGTTATAACACCACAATGACATAGCATGTGAGGTGACAATTTTTGGATGTGATAACACCCCTTAATTAGTTGTCCACACTATTAGTCTTAATAAACACATTTTATGACTATAACTTTTTCACATATCATATTATTTTGCTGATTCATCATTTTCTAGCTTGTTAGTTGACATTCTAGGACCTATAGAAAAACTCTCATATTGGGCATTACTAAGCATGTTGGGTCGGTGACGTGATTATAACATGACATTAAAAATCTTTTGTGAATTGTGTTTTTTCGTTGTGGATGGTCTAAACAAACTTATTTTTTTTAATGTGATGTTATAATCACATCACATTAAATAAGTTCGAAAGGATTTTTTAACTAGTTTTCCATATACACCTTAAACATGAATACCCGTCTTTGACTTCAAAATTTCCCTAATTCTTTTTTTATAATCTGCTAAATTTAATTCAAATTTTATGACTTACCCCTAATAGTTGCTTTCCCTATTATGATTTATATTGTGAGTAAAAAGGATTTATATAAATTATAAAGTATAAGATCATGAATTAGAATTTAGAAAATTTAAGAGCATGAATTAGAATTTAGAGATGTGAGATTTATATTATCAAAATAACAAATTTATAGAAAAACTTAAAGTTGTTATTTAGATTGTTTTTGAAACGCATGAGATGCGAGAAATTCGTAATAATATGATCTGATATTGAATGTAATGAATATGTTTTAAACCTAAAAACGATTGAAAAACTCTTTGTTACTAATTAGTTTAATATGATGATTATTTATTTATTTATTTTAATAACGTTTGCTAGTTTTTTAACTATATATCTTAATGTCCTTTTATGTCATTTTATATGTGTCATCTATTTATCACTAGTTTTTACCGAATATTATTACTTTATAACTTTATGAACTAGTTTATTAGGCAAAAACTTTCAACTAATCTCTCAAACACAGCCTAACCCTTTCCTATCCGTGCTTCCTTTTCTTTCTTCTCAACTCATCTCATGTTACGATGGATGAAAATAGTGTTAAAGTTAATGAATATTTTAATTTGATTAAATATAAGGATAAAATTGTTATTTAATCTCGTTCATACAAGTTTTTCCAAAAAAACATACTCAGATGTATACACGACATACATCATTATTCATTCGATCGCTCTACTATACAAAACTTTACATGGAAAAAACCAATATAATCATTTGGAGGCCCATATACATTCACAACAAGCAACATCATTTAATGCAATAACCCGTTGGGTAACCAAAACCTCCGGCGAACTCACTAAATGGATTTGGTGAATAAGAACTCGAACTAGCACTCGATCTGCAAGAAACATTCGCATCATCATCATCATCTTCTTCATCATCACTACTTGGAAACCATCGTCCAAGTCTTGCAGTTCCAATTTTCGGACTGCTTGTTTTTCGGTGTAAAAACAACCCTCGCATTCTGCATGCCCAACTGGATCGATTGACCTCTTTTGTGACATGATTATGGTTTGAATTTGATCGATTGTTCCCACAAAACTTTTTCATGTTCCCATTCAAACTCCGTTTGCTTGATGACCTATTCAAGTTCCCAATCTTGATCCAGTTGTTGATTGGACTGTGTCTATCTTATATTAGATTGTGTCTAGCTGATATTAGACTGTAAAATTGTTATATTATTAGTAGAAAGCTTACCCATTGGTTTGATTTGAATCGATGGTGATCTTCTCTAATCTTTCACCTGCAACTTCATACATAGGTGTATGTCGAACAAATTGAAGCTGGAAAATGATTCATTGAATCATTTTTTAGGTCAAATTGATTGTATATTCAACTTATAAGTAGCCCAAAGATGATTATTTCAGAAGAAAAATACCTGATCACCATTCTTGATCCCAAAACGTGTAATGGAATCACGATCACGAAAGAGCTTCATGCTCTCAAAGCATAAACAGAAATGCCCCCATACATGTGACCTATAATAAACACAATCATAAGAAGAAGAAGAAAGGGAGAATTTAGAGAGAATAACTGAGCATATATATATATACCATGAAATCTCGGCATCTCCTTGTGTAGGTATATCGCAGAAAGCAGCCTCAATCGCCTTCTTCACTTTTGCTACAGTTGCTCTGTTCGTTACAACAATATCTGTATCACACAAATCACACGACATTCATTTTCGATTTCCTAAAATAGAACATCGTCAAGTGTGAATGTTTTAAAAAGTTAGTCGATGATCTATAGAAAAAAATAGAATTTATATCATTTTCGATTACCAAAGGAAGATCCATCTAATCTGAGGATGGAAAGTCTGATTGGCTTGGAGGAGAATTTTCCAAATGAAAGTGACCTCCAGGAGCTGCGTTTAGCAGGCAATAATGGAGGAAAAGAGCTTGAGGTTGTGGAAATCGAAAATGGCGATGATGGTCGATTTATCTCAAAGGGAGTCTTACGATTATACACAAAATCAGAAAAATCGACCCTGTGATCCTTGGATGGAGTTCGCATGGCTAAATTAGGAGTAAATTATGAGAAGAGGTGAGAGATTATG